CCATTTTATCTGCTACCTCGGCGGTGGCTATAACTATTTCAATTTTAAAGATACAAAAAACAAAACAAAAACAAAACAAAAAAAAAAGAGAGAGAAAGAAAGAAAGAAGGCTCTGTGCTGTACTTGCTCTAGCTTATATGACTCATGTAAAGCAACAAGAAAGAAGGGAGGGGAGGGGGGGGACCCACCAAAGCAGGTGTTCTCATGGTTCTTTCTACTTTTCTGCTACTGTTCTTAACCCTGTTTACACATTAGAATCACCTGAGGGTATGTTTAAAAATAATGATGCCTAGGCCCCACCCAGACCAATAATAAATAATCTAGGGCCTGGTGCTTGGATGTGAGTGTCTTTTAAAAGCATCCTCATTACGTGCATTCTAATCACATGCTGGGTTGTAATTACGTATATATGGTCCTGTGTCTTATTAGAAGTTTCCTTCCTTCCCTTCCTCCCTATTTCCTTGAAAAAACAGTGAGTAGCTGTTACAGAAGAAAATGTATATTTTAGAAGTGGGACATGTATACAAATACGTGTATGTGTGTTTCAGGAGCTGTGACAACATGACAGAGGACTGGGGAGCCCAGAAGGCAGTGGGCCCCAACTAAGGAGGGACAGGGTCAGTGAGGATGCCATAGCAAAGGTTTCCTCTTTGTGCCGTGACACCAACCCCCACGGGAGGTACCTGCTGCCTTAGTGTGGGCTTCCCTGGGAAGCAGAGGCATATCAGCTTGGTAGGTTATTAGCTGCTGTTAGAAAGTGTCACAGACTGGGTGGTTGAAACAACAGAAATTCCATGTCTCCCAGTTCCAGAAGCTGAAGTCAGACATCACAGTGGTGGTGGGTTGGTTCCTTCAGGGTGCTGGGAGGGGAGGATCGATTCCCGGCCTGTCTCCCTCAGCTTGTGGATGGGCATCTTCCTGTTCACTTGATGTCCACTCTTTCTGCATACGTCTGTGTCCAAACTGCTCTTTTTTTATGACATTGGTCATACTGGCCCACCCTGAGGGCTCACGTTCTCTAATGACATCTGCAAAGACTGTTTCCAAATAAGGTCACATTCCAAAGTACTGGGAGTTGGGATGTCAACCTATGAATGTGGGGAGTTAGGGAAGTGAGGGTCTTCCACAGGGTGGGGAGAGGTGGGACCAACCCACATCTGTGCTGAAATCAGGTGGCCGTGGTGTCATGTAATACCAGGTTAGAGGCAGTTCCTTCAGAGATACTTTATTCCCTCCGCATTTCCCTGACCTAGACTGAGCTTTCTCTAACGTGCTGGCCCTCCAGGGGAATTGGAAACACTGACAGGGTTAATGCAGGTCTCCGAAATATTGCCAGATACACAGTTGAGCCAGCAGGGTGGTGATTGAAACCACCTTCGATGGGATTAAAGCCTTCAAGATATTTCAAACAGCAGCTCCCCGCTGTGATAGCCAGTGGGGACAATCTGTTATTAGAAGCACCATCTTGCTAGCAAGTGAGTAAATGAGGTCTTCCCATACCCAGTTAGCAATGGCTAAAATGAAAACCTTTTTAAGTGTATGGGGAGTGAAAATGCAGTCAGGCGTTGTTGAACAAAGGGGTGTGTTCTGAGAAACGCACTGTTAGGTGGTGTCATTGCATGAACATTACAGTGTGTACTTACACAAACACCCACTACACACCTCGGCTGTGTGGAATAGTCTGTACTGCTCCTGGGCTACTGTGTCGGTGGGCTGGTTCCTTCAGGGTTGCCCAGCATAATGCTGTACCCAACATCACAGGCAATTGTAACACTGCGCTAAGTATTTGCCTATATAAGTATATCTAAACATAGAAAAGGTACAACAAAAATACGATATTATAATCTTTAGAGGCCACTGTCGCATACACAGCTTGTCCTTGACTAAAACTGAGCTATCGGCAAGTAGCACGTGGCCGTGTCTGCTCACTAGAACCTCTTAGGTGCATTGTGGGTGCACTGAATTCACTCACCAAATACGGTTCAAGCACCTACTGTGTGCTGTGCACCATTCCAGGTGCACATCATGAATAAACAAGAAAAATCTTTGTCTTCTTGAAGTCTAGCTTCTACAGGCAGCTTGCTACCCTCTGGCACGCACTTATGGGTATTAAGTGTTAATATTAAGCCCCCCAAAATCAATATTTCAGACAAGAAAGAGGTTATAGCCAATGACATGTTTTAGAAGAACTGATTAAAAAATATTACCAAGGTTGTTGTTTAGTGGTTTCCCTTGGGTTCCAGTGGCAGCACTGCCTACTTATTAGCTATGTGACCTTGCCCTTTTAATTATGTAAATGATTTCATCAGTGTCATCACCTACAAAAATGGAGGTAATATGCTAGCCTTGACAGTTGTTAAAAGATAAAATTGAGTAAACCCAACCCAGGGTTGTGCCCGCGGTAAGTGCTTGCTGGATTGAAGTGGGAGAGTCCTGCTAGATCAAGCCTGGCGCTCTCTCGCATGGCTGAGAGTGTAAAATGGTGCTGCTGCTTTGGAAAACCAACTTGACAGTTTCCTAAAAAATTAAGCATATATCTAACAAGTATCCCAGCCATCCCCCTCCAAGAAATTTGCTCCCAAAGAAAGAAAACTTACACTCATACAAAGACCATGCACAAATAATTATAGCTGCTTTTATTAAAATAGCCCCAAACTGGAAGTGATACAAACACCTATTAACAGGTGAACTGATAAACAAACTATGTCATATCCACACTGCGGAATGCTATCTAGCAACAAAAAGGAACAAACGTGCTACCACATGGATAAATCTTGAAATCATTACGCTAAGTGAAAGAAACTAGACATAAAATAGTGCATACTGTGTGATTCCATCTGTTAAAAAGTACAGAGCCCGGGCAGGGGCTCATACCCGCCCTGTAATCCAAGCACACTGGGAGGCCGAGGCAGGTGGATGGCTTGAGCTCTCGAGTTCAGGATCAGCCTGAGCAAAAGCAAGACCCAGTCTCTACTGAAAATAGAAAATCTGAGGCAAGAGGACTGCTTGAGCCCAAGAGTTTGAGATTACTGTGAGGTATGATGCCACGGCACTTTACCCAGGATGACAGCTTCAGACTCTGTCTCAAAAAAAAAAAAAAAAAAAATTGCATAGAATGCCAACTATAACCTTAGTGACAGGATGCAATTTATTAGTTTCTTTGGGATGGGATTGGAAAAGGAGAAGGGAAGAGTGGAAGGATACTGAAGTATCATTTGGAAACTTTGGGGGTGACGGATAGGTTCAGTATTTTGAAAGAGGTGATGATTTCATGCCAAAACACGAAATTGTACACTTTAAAGATGTGCAATTTATTATATGCCAATTTCACCTCAATACTAAATGTTTAAGAAAGTCAATCCCAATCTTCCTTCCCAAGAGGAAAGCAAAATCTGTCGCCTTTCTTAATCAGTGTGAGACTTTCATAGAGGCAACTGTGGATTAGGTGACCAGCTGATTGTGAGAATCCAGACAAGTGTTTTCCTGTGAGCTGTGAGGATGGATTCACAGTAGCAGCGGGGAGAGATTTAAATTTCTCAGTGCAGCCAGTCTGAAGTTATTAAATTTATAAAGAATGATATGGATTTCTGTTCAGAGCCACAAGACAAAGCTGTTAGACAGGGATCCACATTTCTTGCCTGTCAGAAACTGATGTAGCAAGCACAGAAATATAAAACGCCTCATCAAAAAATTAATGCCCCCATATTCAGGAAGCTATTGTAGCTGGGTGACAAATTTCAGATGATAAAGAGAGATGTAGATGTAAACCATGTGGGTTGGGTGTTTTTCTTTTTAGAGATAAAGCAGTGATACTGATGTCATATTTAAATATGTAAGAGTCAAAGTCGCATCTCTCTCTCTTTTTTTAATAGAAAAGCTAAACTGATTTTGCCAGGATTAACAGTGAAAAATAATAAATCCCAGGCAAGAGAAAATGAATTTCAGGGCCAAACTAAAGGACTAGATTAAATGGATTAATACCCCAATACCCAGGATCAGAAAGGAAGAATTTGTGGGCTAAAAGATGTGATTCTGTTTCAGTCTTGACTGACCCCAGAATGTGAGCTCCAGAGTCCAGTGATAGGACCGAGAATTCTGGACTGTTTTGATAAATGCCGTTAGGCCTTTAAAAATATTGTGCACTTGAGTTTTATCATTATTTAAGATTGCTTTAGGACTTTTTTTTAATTTAAAAAGATTCTGGGGAAAGTTAACATGATTTTTTCTCTGTCATGTTACTAAAGGACACTGCTTTGCTAGGTTGTTTATGATTTGGCATGATTGCTCAAATTCCAAAGTCCTGTATTCACTGTCACTGCCCACTGACCAAAGAGCTACACAAGAAGGCAGAATTATGCACCTGAGATTTGAAAAAGGACCTGGAAGAGTTAGAAAATGAAATCATGAAGGCCAGGATGCTGCCATCACAGACACACATCATTTGTTTCTCTATCACAGAAACAAGGCCACGCGTAACCAAGCCCTGTAACTCCAGCATTCAAAAGCTAAATCATCGCCCAATATTAAAAATTAGGGCAGGTTTTCAGAAAGGACTATGAGGCTAGAGGGCAACGAGAAACTTCCAAGAGAAAGCTGTGCAGAATAAGGCGATGACACTCCCTCTCACAGATTTTACCCACAAACCTCAACCCCAAGAGAAAGGAGAGTCCCATTTATTGAACACCTGCTGTTGACTTGGCACAATAGAAGCCTTGGTCATTGAGTTCACACCCGCTCCCACAGAACACACGCTACTGTCAAAGAAAGAAATTCACAAACAACCCTAACAGGTCCTCATGAGCAGGGCGTGAATGTTGTAAGAAAAATACGAAGGACTCTGTGTGGTGACAGCGTGATGTTTCCTGGCTGTGACTCTGTGTGGCGAGAGCGTGACATTTCCCGGCTGTGACTCTGTGTGGTGACAGCGTGACATTTCCCAGCTGTAGATGGGTGGCCGGCGCTGTGACGCGTCTCTTGTTTCTCTCGTCCCCTTTCGTCAGGTGTCCAGATTAGCTCCTTCACTCAGGCCGACCTGACTTCACGGAGTGTCCAGTACACGCATTCCAGCGAGGCCGAGCGACACACAGACGCCTTCAGCTTCACGCTGTCCGACGGGGTCAATGAGGTAGGAGAGGAAGTGGACTCCATCCTTGCCTGGGGTTGAGTCCTCGCTGTCCTCTCTGAATGAAGTGGGCAGAGCCACTCCACTCCCTTCTGCTGTCAGCAGCCTCTGACAGTCACGTGGGCTCTTGCCCAAGAGTCCTTACTGTGGGGTGCTGGTCGGTCAGTCATTCCAGGCAATGATGGGACAGGTAAAATAAAGAGCATGCCTTCTATTTCTTGGAAGGTGCTGGGGACACCTGCGCTTTTCTGCCCCTCTAGGTGGCACAGACTTTCCACATCACTCTCCGCCCGGTGGATGACTCGCTGCCCGTGGTCCGGAGCTCAGGGATGCGGGTGCAGGAGGGTGTCAGGAAGACCATCACGGAGTTTGAGCTCCAGGCGGTGGACGCGGACACGGAGGTAGACACACTCCCCTGCGTTCTTTGCTAATGCAGCTGTCAGGCTGCTGTTGCTTTGTGACCACGCACCCTGGGGTTCGGGTGGAGTGGCGAGGTTAGTGCAGGCATCCTGGAAGGCTTAAAAAGCAGAAAATACCGTGGCCTTTTGAAAAAGAGAAACTAATGCATTTGAGAGCAGAATGTCTCTAACCCCTTTCTGAGCCCTGAGTACATTCATTCTTTCCCCTGATTCTGTGTAACAATCACGTTAATGTGCTGATTTTTTACTGTGATTCACAGAAAATCAGGCAGATAACATTTCACCCAATGTTGTTATTATTCACTATTAGAGTGGACAACGATTTTTCTACACTCATAAACCTTTTTCCCTATCACCCCTCCATCCAGACTTCTCTAATGTGACTAATTATTACAGTTTTAACCTCCTCAAAGACCAGGTTCTAGGCAATGAAACAGGGCGTGTGCAGACGAGGCACTCCCTCTCGGGCTTCCAGATTAAAGCAGCCCACGTTCTGACATGACGTAGCCTGCATAAAACACAGTGCCACCCTTGCTGATGAGTTCTGGGTACCCCTTCTCTGTGCCACCTCACACTCATTTATTCCTCCTTTCATCAAACATTAAATGCCTACTGGGTTTTGGGTTCTGCTCATATGTAAATGCAGAGCTATGAGTAGAACACGTGATGTTCCAGGCTTAGAGAGGGTACAACCATTGGCTGGGGAAAGACAATAAAGAGAGAAAGGCCGTATATCAGCTGTAAGTGCTATGAAGAAAGATGAAGTGAGGTACAGGAGGTGGACAGGTGGGGATGCTATTCTACACAGAGTGGTTGGGGAAGGCCTCTCCAGGAGGCCATATGTGAGCAAAGAGATCTGTAAGGAAAAGAGCAAGCTGTGCAGTTACCTGGGAGAACTCGTGCTCCAGGCAGAGGAACCAGGGTGCAAAGCGACTATGCTCAGGTGTGCTTAGACGCTGGGGACAAGTGCCATGCAGGTCACAACAGCCCAAGTGGCTAGAGCCCAGTCAACGAGCAGGAGAGGAGAAGGAAGTTGGCCAGGAGCCCTGGGACCAGGTCACAGAGGGCCTTGCCAACCCAGGTCAGCCTTTGTATTTTATTGAGTTGGTAGGAAACCCTTGGAAAGTTTGGGCAGGGTTTTATGCCTCTTTCTTTCTCCTCCTACAGGTCACTTTAGAATAAGCCATTACAACTGGGCTATTAGCTTCTGTCCTCATGCATATGGGATACTGTATATAAGAGTTTTAGAAAAGTGAGGGAAAAATGAGTGAAAAAGAAATAGTTTTTAAAATATCCATTTCCTGTCATCTTGTTAGAGGATAAAAATTCAGGCTTTCTGCTAGGCACAGTCATGTGTACCTATAATCCCAGCTACTTGACAGGATCACTGGGGCCCAGGAGTTCAAGACCAGCCTGGGCAACATACCAAGACCCCATCTCAAAAGAAAAAGAAAAGAAAAGAAAAATGTTCTCTATGACCTGAAGAGAACAAAATTAAGTGCTTGTGTTTTACAACTGAAGCACCAGAATGCAATTCCAATTGTAGTAAACAATGCAGTTTTTCCCTTTATATCTGTTTTTGGTATCTATAAAGATACCCAAGCAGCCCTTATTTCCTAAGTGACTCTAGGCTCTGCTGCCCTTGACTAGCTATGGGCTGTCACTGGTTCATCTGTTTCTGTTATGAACTTCCCTTTCCTACCCATGGCTTTTTGCCTCTTGGACAGGCTGAATCTGTCACATTCACCATCGTGCAGCCCCCACGCCATGGCACCATCGAGCGGACCTCCAATGGGCAGCAGCATTTCCACCTCTCCTCCACCTTCACCATGGAAGATATCTACCAGAAGCGGGTCAGCTACAGCCACGATGGCAGCAACTCCCTCAAAGACAGGTTCACCTTCACCGTCTCGGATGGGACAAACTCCTTCTTCATCACGGAGGAAGGAGGAAGAGAGGTGAGTGGCACAGACAGTGGGGAGGTGGTCTAGCAGCATGTGCGGGAGCAGACCATGGTTTTTTGCATCAAGCACAGTATCATTGGAGATCTTATTCTGTCACTTACAGTAGAGTGGTCTGGGCAACTTACTATTCTAAGCCTCAGTTTTTCATCTGTTGAATGGGCACAATAATAATTATCAAGTTCAGATAGTTAGCTTAAGAGTCCAAGGAGGTAATCCACGGTGCTTACCACTGTTGGCAAATAGCACTCAATACAATGGCAGCTGCTGCTGCTGTTAATGTTACTGTTACTTCATTTTTATTCGCCCTTTAGTCCTTGAATCTTTCTTTCATCTGGTTTTAAAATAATATATATGGCTCCAGATCATCTTTCTGTCTTTGGACTAAGTCCCCTCAGTCTGACAGAGTTTCTCAGCCTGAGAAATATCAGTGGTTAAGATTATGGTTTTTATATCCAAAAGATACTAAGTAAATTCTGCCCTTGTCGCTTAAAAGCTGAGTGTCTTTATAAGTCATTTAAACTTCCTAAGCATCAGCTTTGTCGTCTGTAAAATGGATATACCTACCCTTCCTGATGCACATACAATATTTAGCCCAGTGCCCAGAAGACAGGGAACATCAGATAAATTGTGGCAGTAACCACTGTCATTGTCACCTTTTAGGACCAGCTTGTGAAACTGGTAAGATGCTTTTGTCTCAAGGTCAGGCAATTATCAAGCTTTACTTCCTAAAGGAATTGCTTTCTTTTTTTCTTTTTTTCTTTTGAGACAAAGTCTCACTGTGTCGCCCTGGGTAGAGTGCTATGGCGTCACAGCTCATAGCAACCTCAAACTCTTGGGCTTAAGCGATTCCCTTGCTTCTGTCTCCCAAGTAGTTGGGACTATAGGCACTGGTCACATACACCGGAGCTGGCGGGTATGGGCCGCCAAACAACAATGACAACTACAACCAAAAGATAGCCGGGTGCTGTGGTGGGCATCTGTAGTCCCAGCTACTTGGGAGGCTGAGGCAAGAGAATCGCTTGAGTCCAGGAGTTTGAGGTTGCTGTGAGCTACAGGCGCTGAGCCAGAATGGCTTTCTTCTAACCTCCAGGTGTCCAAGAGAAGCTTCTATTTTGCTTCCACTGCCTTCCCCACCGTTTTTACTCATGCCTTCATTCATTAGCCAGGTCTCCTGCAGTGCTGTCAACCTCCCCTGGGAAAAGCTGCCACTTTGGTGACAGGTGGGCCTGGGGCACCCTGCGTCCCGCCATCTATGTCTGGCTCTGCAGAGGCAGTTTCTGTGAGCAGCACGCCCTCACCCTGTGGCACCGCCTGGATAATCAGAGGATCCATTTCCCAGGCCCGCAGAGCCCCTTCCCTACTCTGACAGGAAGGACTGTTTTCCTGGATGAAAGGGCCTTTGCTCCTGTGGGGGCGCGCAGCCTGTGAGAAGGGCATTCTCGGCTGGCTGCCATGTCTGTGGGGCTCCTGGGAGTTCTCTGCCACCGAAGTGTCTGTGCTGCATCACCGCCTGGCAGGTCATCACTTTTGTTGGGTTTTTTTTCCTCCCAAACTGTAGCTGTTTTGCAGTTAGTTTGACTTTCAAAAGAGAAAAAAATTTTCAGGATGTATCAGCAGGAAGGCTACCTGTCTTATAAACATAAAAGGTCACAGCAGGTCTCTGAGGGACTGTGTCATTTAAAAAATGGAAATTGCTTAGAAGGTGGGTAATAGGAGATAGAGAATGCAGTGTCTCACTGTCCTTGCTGTGTCTGCTCAGGGCAGCCGAGTGCGGCTAAGCATGAGTGCGACACGTGTGTGCAAGAAGGGGTTATAAACTACACGTCCTTTTTACTTTGACCACATGCTTTTATTAGTGATGGCTTCTGCCCCTTCCCCTCTTTGGACAGCTGTCCCTTAAAACAAACAACAGAAAGGACAAAAAAAGAAGAAACCGAAAGTCGCCTGCTGTGAAACCTCTTTTTGCATCTGCTGCAATCCCAGCTGGAGGTTTTTGACATTAGCATTTTAATGATGATTTTTGCCAACCTCTCATGAAGATTTTGACAAGAGTTAGTGAAAGGAAATACTCTATTGTTTAGTGAGTTTAACAGTGAACTCACTAAAGAAGACCTAGGAGTGTGAAAACCAGCATCCATAGCAGGTGAAATTCCAGGAGAGCGTCCCACTTTTCTTCCCATATGGTTCTCACGCACATCACCCTTCCCCATTCTCCCCGAGGCCGCAGGCAGAGTGGTGGCCAGGGATGCAGACCAGCTCTGCTGCCCATTCTTCATCTCTGAGCATCGCCAGACCTCAGCCCTCCCCGCTCTGGAGAGCCTGGGCCCACCACGCGTCTGACACCTACCAGTGACCTTTTCTTTCCCGGCCTCCCCTACAGATTGTGACGGCAGCCCCTCAGCAGTTCCAAGTGGACATCCTTCCAGTAGATGATGGCACTCCCAGGATTGTCACCAACCTGGGGCTCCAGTGGCTGGAATACATGGGTGACAAGGTAAAGCCTGTCCCACCTGTCACATTCACACCACCCAACCTGGGCTGCATCCTCCGTGACAACGACTTATGAAGAGAGCTCCATTCAGCTCCTGTCCATTCCTCCCTAAATCAGCTGATTTTCCTGAGATTGGCAAGCTCCATGAGTTTGGTTGGGGTATTTTATTAGTAATGCTTGTGCAGGATTGGTTAAGATTCTGTACAGTTTAAAATGCCCTTACAACAGTATTCCAAAATATAATAGGTCAGAATAACATAGAAGTTTGTTTTTCTTACATATGGGGTGGAAGTTTGTTTTTCTTACATATGGGGTGCATAGGGCCCTCCATGACTGGGAGAAATGCAGATTCCTTCCCCCTCATTTATCTGCCATCACCAGCCTGTTGCTATTGACAGCATGGACAAAGCTCGTTAGAAATTTATCAGTATGCAGTTGGCCCTGCGTTTATAGGTCCCACGTCTGCAGATTCAACCAACCACAGATGAAAAATACTCAAAGGGCAAAAACAACACCACAAGTAGAAGACACTATAACCACGTAGCATTTAATTATATAGGCATTCTAAGTCATCTAGAGATGATTGTGTAAATACTACACCATTGTATATGAGGGACTTGAGGGGCTGTGGATTTCTTCATGGGATCCTAGAACCAGTTCCCCAGAAGGACAACTGTACCAGCACATGGACGGGGACCACAGAGAAACAGAGGGCAAGGGACATGATTTTAAGCAAGGGGTACAGAAACGAACTTATCCCTTGCACTCATATTCTGTCAGCAAGAAATTGATCTTATGGCCCCAAATGTTAATGAGGAGGCTGCAAAACAGCGTCCATCACTGGGCAGGCCCATGCTCATCTAAGACATTACCACTGGACGAAGGGGAGGGTGGCCTTTGGGAACATCTGGTATTGCTGTGGATGGGAGGAAAGTGGCACTGTGCAGGTGAGAGTCCTGGGATGAATTCTGTCTTGGAAATGTCTTTCTCCTCCTCATTGCCAAGTCGGTCATTTAAGGCGTATGCTGTAATTTTCACCTGGCAACAGACAGAGCACCAGGCCCGCACCCACACCTCAGCACACACCCGGCTGCTCAGCTCAGCTGAGGCTGTCTCCGCATTGGTGGCTGGCACTCTCTCTGGCGCATGGTCCTCCACCTCCATGGAGCTGCAGTTGGCACTGAGGCTTCCCACCAAACGGGTTGAGTTTTCTAAATACATGGAACAAAATTAGCACAGATTCCTTGCCACGCCCCTTTCGTTTTTTTCCCCTTTGTATGGGATGCAATCCCATCCTCATCTCCAGATTCTCCTTCTGAGTTTGTACCCCTCGCTCCTACCCTGCTGCAATGACACGAATGACCTCTATTCCGCCAAATCCACATACCAATTTTCTGGCCTTATAGTACTAGACCTAACAGTTTTCAAGGCTATTGACCCCCCCTTTCTTCTCTCAGATCTTTGTTCTCACTAAATATTTATTGAATGAATGAGCAAGGGAATTAAAAGTTCAGCCAGTATATTTGGGCATTATCAGGGTATAGTATGTTTATCTGATTCTATTTCAAGCATTACAATTGACTCCAACAATTGATTCCTTGCACTGAATCATTCTTTCAAAGTTCCAACTTCCTTTCAAGGCCCAATTCAAATCCCATTGCCTCAGATTCCTCTTTCTTCAACTCCAGATGAAATTAATCTCTCCCTGTCTTAAAAAGCATTTGACACTCTTTTCATATCTTACATTCTATTATCTGACATTGACCTTGCTTAGGAGCCTTTATTTCCCAGTAAAGCTTGTATACCTTCCGGGCACAGGCCAGGAGAATTTCTATCCTCAGAGCCTCTCTGGTCTGGACAGAATTCTCCGTGCAGTAAATGCACTCAGTAAATCATTGTTGTGCCAAATTAAATCTGAGTCAGAGTGTCTTATTCCTGCTTTATTCCCATCTTAGGAATTAAACTTAATGGGTTTCTATTTCAGGCCACCAACTTGATCACCAAGAAAGAACTGCTGACCATGGACCCAGACACCGAGGACGCGCAGCTTGTCTATGAGATAACGACGGGCCCCAAACACGGCCACTTGGAGAACAAGCTGCAGCCTGGCACAGCTGCTGCCACATTCACCCAGGGTAGGGCCCTGGGGCCTGAGAAATGGGAGACGTTTGTTCTAATGCCACTCTCTCCATCTCCCCAAGCTTTCCCACAGCCACTTCTAGCTACTTATCCCCAAGTAACCTATTTGCAAACAAATAGATCTTTTAGTGTTTAACCATCCTGATTTTTTCCCCCTTTACTCTAAACTATGGCCAAAAAAAAAAAAAAAAAAATTCATAAGTATTGTGCTTCCTCAGCTCCCAAATCACGGTAATTCTTGACCAGGTTTTCTGGAAAAGAATACATGCTGCTGCCCGGTGCTCTTTAAAAATAACAACAGCAGCAGCAGCTAGACTATGAAAGAGACGTGCTCCTGTGTGGGCTTTATTATTTTTGTTCTTCTCTAAGAATTACAGATTTTTTTTTAAATAGTCTCACTTTCTTACCCTCAGTAGAGTGCATCATAGCTCACAGCAACTTCAAATTCTTGGGCTCAAGCGATCCTCATGCCTCAGCCTCCCAAGTAGCTGGTATTACGGGTGCCTGCCATAACTCCTGGCTATTTTTTAGAGACACGGTCTCACTCTAGCTCAGGCTGGTCTCAAACTCCTGAGCTCAAGCAGTCCACATGCCTTGGCCTCCCAGAGTGCTGGGCTTACAGGCCTGAATTACGGATTTTTTAAAAGATTTCAACCAAGAAATTAAAATCGACATGTGTAGGTTGCTCAACAGAAATATTTTCCAGTTTTGAACCCATCAGGCCATTTTGTGTTTTAGCTTCTTATAAGCATGATAGATTTTTCTAGACTTCTTTTAAGGATGGACCTGATGGGAGCAAACTCCATAGCAAATATTCCTGCCCCATGTCCCCACTCTCTCCCTGTCCTGAATCATGTGTTCTCTCCTGGCCCCTCGTAAGCTGTGCTTTAATCCAGCCCCAGCTGTCCTCGTTAGCACACACCCTCCAGAGCCACTTCTTTAGAAGAGGGGGGTCTGAGTGGGCACTGCACACACAGAGGCTGGGGGCACAGACTTCCTCTTTCCCCTCTCGGATTCATCCTCCTACATTCCACAGACATCCACTTAAACACTTTTTGTCAAGACCCTGTGATTCTCATTTTATAGCAGCATGAGGGTACTTTCTGCAGATAAAGACAGGTCATTAGTTACACAGAGCTGCAGGATTTTATTTTAAAATCGGGCCGAAACATTTATTTTTAAGACTTCTACGCTTTTGGTTCTTGGGAAAGTAAGTTTTATCTGTACCCTATTTGAAGAATAAACGAGGCGTGCTGGCGTGGGGATCTACGAGGCTGTCTTTATGTCCTAGGTTAATTCGTAGCAAATTCACAGCAAGTCTTTTCTCACAGAGGACGTGAACTTGGGGCTGATTCGTTATGTGTTGCACGAAGAGAAGGCTCATGAGATGATGGACAGTTTTCAGTTTCTGGTGAGAGACAGTAAACCCAACGTGGTCAGCGACAACGTCTTCCACATCCAGTGGTCCCTCATCAGCTTTAAGCATACCAGGTACAAGCGCGATCGCTCTTTCATTCTTGCAAAATGAATCAGGTAAGCAGAGGAAATCCAGAAGAAAAATGCTGGGGGTCAGCTCCAGTCACCTGGTGACACTGGGAATGATGAGATGATGGCAGCAATGATAAAATAATAGTCACACCAAGTATAAATGCAGTTTGGACCAGGCACAGCGCAAGGTGCCTGACATACATCATCCTGTTTAATACTTGCAATTATGAGATGAGGTCTGTTCTTACCCATACAGCAGAAGGAAAAGTCACTGAGAGGTTAAGCAACTTACCCACAGGCACATAGCTAACAAGCAGTGGGACCAGGACATCAGCCCGATGATCCGAACCCTGTGTTTTCTGCCTCTCATATGAGTATTTTTGGTTCCATCTTCAGGTTTTAGAAGATAATCCAATAGAACTGACAGGAAAAATAAAAACAGACATCCAAATTCCAAAAATAATCACTGGCCCACACGATCAGTATCTTTGCCCTCCATCTGTTTTTCCTCGTTCTCAAGCTTGTATTCTCCCCTGGCTCCTTCGGTTTCTACAGGCGTGTGCATTTCTAGGAAACAAACGCATGTCTGAACAGAGACGGCTCTCTAAGATGCCTTCCTGAGCTGCTGGGGAAGTACAGAGATACTGATTGGTAAAGGTGGTGCTGATTGTACGAGTTAAGTTTAATTAGGATTATGATTTTTCTGGGGAAAATACTCTGTAAATCTATATTTCAGGGACTCACTATTTTAAGAAATAAACTTCATGATAATACAGAAAATCAGACCTTGGGGAAAAAAAGGAAAACATACAAACTGGATTGTACCCTTACACATACTTGGAGAATTAGAGGAAAATTAGAACCAACTGTTACATATGTTGTGTTCTGCTGTTATTTACCTCTTAATTGGATATTTTTCAAAATTAAATAAATTCAGTAAAATTTTCTGGACAACTTTCTAATGCTTAGTAGGATAACTGGGACAGAGGGCCTCGAAGCTGGCAGTGAGGCCTGACCTCGAAGGGACGCCACGCCTGCAGCCATCACAGTGACCAGACACAAACCCAGGCAGGGCCCATCCTCAGTGATGGGAAGCAAAGTGGGTCTCACACTCTCCTTGCTCATGGCTTCTCCAAACCCAGATGCGTGTTATGAATTAATAGCACGTGGGTAGTCAGCCTTCTACTTTGCAAAAGCACTAGAAATTCTAAGCCACACGCGAAATTAATCCTGTCACTCTCTCATTGCCATAAAGCTGCATTTGTCTGAATCCCTGCGTTTCCAAGGCCCAACTCCATTATCCTACGTCTGGCACTGCCTTGGCTCCTTCGCACACTTCCTAGAGATGGGGTCCAGTGCGTTCCCTGAGCTGAGTTACTAATTGCCATCTAAGCGGCTTTCTTTTCTGAGAACCCACTGTCTACTCTGATTGCACCACCACGCTAGGGGGATTCTGTCTCCTCTCCCTATGTTCTGAAAACCAAAGTGCACAGCTCCCAGTGCTGTCCATCTCCCACATGACTCTGAACTCTCTTCCCAAGTGGGGCAGGCACCGTTCTGCATCCACAGTTTGGTCCTTGGGACCTGAGTGTTCCAGGTGGACACATTCCCTCCACTTACACCCTGGCTCCTCGCAAGAGCCAGACTTCCTCTTCTCTGAGTTGCCAGTAACCAAACAGAAGAGACAAGGATTAAACAAAGTGGTTTCTTTGTGACCCTGCAGCGGATTTTCAGAGACTGTCTTTTTTGTGTGCTCCTAGTTACAATGTCAGTGAGAAGGCGGGGTCTGTCAGCGTCACGGTGCAGAGGGCTGGGAACCTGAACCAGTATGCCATCGTCCTGTGTCACACCGAGCAGGGCACCGCCAGCTCTGGCTCTGGGGTCAGCTCCCAGCCTGGACAACAGGATTATGTGGAATATGCTGGCCAGGTAGGTGGAGTGGGGTTCTGATTCCTGAACTGCTGGGATGCCACCAGCAAAGCCTGTGACCCACAGGTCCCCATGGCGCCTCCCCACTTCACGAGCCCACCTTCCTTTCCTCTGCTATCCTTCCTCTGGTGATGTCCCCGTCTCCCTCCCATCCTGCTCTGACCTTCACAGTCTCTCTGACCCTCATCACAGTTAAAACTGTCAAAGCTTAAGCTGTTATCTAATCGGTCTTTACATTTTGCTTCATGACCAAAAGGCATCCCCAAGCATCGTGTTCTAGACTCAGCCTCTGCCATTCCACCTTGGCTCTCCCTTCCCCGTCCTTATAGGAAGGTCTCAGAACAGACTAGCTGAGAGGTGATAGATGATGAGCACTTGGGCTCCAATTATAAAGCGAAGCTGGAGAGACCTGGATGGATTTAACACTGGAGTAAGAATTGATAGCACTTGGCAGTGGACTGATTAGACAGTGGGGTAGAAGGGAGAGATGGTGACTGTGCCTCTTACTAGAAAGGGCCTGACTCCTAAAAGGAGCAGGTTGGGCAAGGTCTGGACTCATGACTTTGCTTTGAACATGTGGAGTATGTGTGGCTTGAGAAATAAATTAGCAGAGAGCAGTCTGAGGTCCAGAGAGAAATCGGCAAGACATCAACATGCCTGTGGTAATTAGGGTGGCCGTGAGAAAAGGAGAGAGTTGAAAGCAGAATAGAAAGGGTGGCTCTCAGTGGCACCTGTGGCTCAGTGAGTAGGGCGCTAGCCCCATATACCAGAGGTGGTGGGTTCAAACCTGGACCTGGCCAAAAACTTATAAAAAAAAAAAAAAGAAGAAGAAGAAGAAGAAAGGAGAACTTACATGGCCAGCTCCTTTAGGGGAGGGAGCCCTGTACTTGTCACCGTCCATGTAGGGGATGATGGCCAGCACTTCATAGGTATTTATTCAGTACTTTTCCAAAGTAATTTTATTATTCTTATGGCAACAGAAGTCTCTGTAGGGAGAAGTAGGCTCTGTCCTTCAATGGCAGCACTTCAGCTAGACTAAGTCCTCTTATATCAGACATAAATGAAGAATTAGGAAAGAACAGATAAGCTAAAGAGTCTTTTAGCAAAATGATAAGACAGAACGTGTTCTTGTGTTTTTCAAGGAAAGACAAAAGACTGTCTGTGTTCTAGATCTTCAACAGAGATTGGTTAAGTGTTTCATTTTACTGAGCACATTTTGAAGTATGTAGCTTATTAAATGAAACTTAATGAGATGAATTGATTATATAGTACTAATAATTTTGTTTGATTAAAATTACATATTTTTTGGATTTGCGCCTCCCTGGAAACATACGGCTATTTTTTGCACATTTCAGCTGTCTCAGTTTGCACAAAGTCAAGTCCAGGGCTGTTCCCTGTCCTTTCTTTCAACTTGGGGCAAGTCTATAGCCTTTGCTACATTTAAAGGTTTTAGCTAGCTTGCCTCCCTCCCTCCCTTCCTTCCTTTTTTGACAAAAATGAAACCAGAATAAATTCTTATCTATAGGTTGGCAATTGTGTGCATATAAAATAATCTCTCTGCTTTGTAACAGTCTAAATTAATTCATATTATAGTTCTAGCCCATTTTGATGACAAAGGATTTAGTCAAATATGAAGTTAAAATTAGTTGGGCTTATTTATAACTTTCTATAAATTTAAACCTCGTTATTCAGTACACTGAGATTCTATGTCAATTTTAATTATACAAGTATGTGAGGATGGTAATGATAAGACCTTACATCTGTTCAGCACTTTAAAATATACTTAGCACTTTTCATTACGTACGGCCTCCTTTATTCCTTCCAGTAAGTATGTAAAGTAGGAATGTTGTAATCGTTATTTAGCTGATGAGGGATCTGATGTTTGTAAAGTTTGAAACCTAACATAGCATGGAAGGCACAGAACCAGACTTGAGGCCAGAACATCACACTGGAAGGTCTGAGTTCTGTCCAGTTACACTTCCCATAGACACAAAGGGAGCTGAGCAGCCAAATGATGAATGCTGCTGTCCTAGTGAGTTAATAGAACAGGATATACAAAGTTGTTACGTGTGTTGCTGGTCACCAAATGGTAGGGGATGTCTTTGCTGTCAGTGTCCCTATAACTGGTCAGACCCACTGTTCAGGTGAAGAGTGGGCAGAGGTGGCCGACTATTCCCAGTGACAATGCAGAGCTGGGGGCAGGAGGACCCACTCATTCAGTCAGTGGTCTGCCCGCGGGACTCGGGAGCTCTTTCCCCAGGATGCGGGGGAAACTGAGGCACAGCTGACCTCCTTGTTGTTTCCTTGTGACAGGTGCAGTTTGATGAGCGAGAGGACACCAAGTCCTGCACCATCGTCATCAACGACGATGACGTGTTTGAGAACATCGAGAGCTTCACCGTGGGGCTCAGCATGCCAGCATATGCCCTGTTGGGGGACTTCACCCGGGCGAAGGTCATCATCAATGATACTGAGGACGAGCCCACACTAGAGTTTGACAAGAACACCTACCGGGTCAACGAGAGTGCCGGCTTCCTGTATGCACCGATTGAAAGAAAAGGTGAGTTGGTGTCAGAGGTGACAGGAGCTGTATTATCAGCTAAGGGTTGTGTTAACTCAAATTTGTGTTAACTCGTGTGTGAGTGCTTTACTGTATTAACTCATCTAACCCCCATGAACCCGAGTGGTGATTCTGCCCAGAGGAAGTGCTAGCAGAAGACCCTCCTCTTAGTTCAAGTTGGCAGAGCTCCCATTTATTCTTAAGTTGAATTAGAAGACTGGTTATACATGGGTCATTACAAAAATTTTGAGATAAAACAGAAATCAAGAAACATAAAATCCCCATGGGGGAAACAAATGAAGCCCTCCCAGCAACACCAACAAGCTGAGCAAGTTGAAACTTGCACAGGTGAATCGGAAAGGACGCTGTCAACTGTGTTTCTTGTAAGTGAAATAATGGACCATAACACGGTCTGTCTCACTTTCATAGTGACCCACGTAGATTATTCGTGAGTCAGTATTCTTAATCAATCACACAATCCATGAAATGTTTAGTAACCTTGGCCAAGGAGGGAAGTCACAGTTTGTAAGGGCTGGCTTTCCATCTTAGTTCTTGGAAGACAGAAACGTGCTTAAAGATTTCCCTATGTGAGGATCATACAGAGATCTCAGATGAAAAATGAGGGAAGTTGTGTAAGAATTAAAGGGCAGTTCTTTTATTGTTTTGTTTTTACTTGACACAAAATTGTACATGTTTATAAAAGGCTAATTCTTGAGGGATTGAAAATCACAAAATCCTATGAATTTATACTTGTGCGACATTGAGACTTTAAACCGCTATTCAAAGCCACAACATGACTCTAAGTGATGATGTCAGGGTTCTCTATTGAATCTGCTGACTGGGCGTTAGGGTAACAAATACTGCAGATAGCACAAAACCTTGGTTCTGCCACTTGGCGAACAAGCAAGCCCCATTGATTGCTCTGGGCCACCAAGCCAGGCCCAGGACAGGCTGTCACCGAGGAAAGTGGCATCACTAATAAGTAAAGTCATTTGTACAGAGAAGCAGATTTTGTTTGGTTTTATCTTTCTTTTTTTAAACCAGCTCATTTCTCTCTGGGAATTAAAGTGCAGAAGTTTATTCAGAAAGGCACTGAACTGTGCTCATAGCACTACCTTCAGGACACAATTACTTTGCTACTTACAGTACCAAATATGTCTCTTATCTTTCCACCCACTGTGATCGTAGATGGTGGGCAATGAGTCTTGTGAATTAACAGAGCACGAAATTCACAGAATGGGAAATCCATTTTAAGTTGTTTAGCGAAGTACCCAGAGTATATGAAATCCTCAAGTGGTTTATACCACAGGCTTAACAGAAACAGCATTTTAGGGAGGTTTCTGTCATAGTGTGAACAGAAATAGTGATGGAACGTGTCAGAGGCAACCAAGCTCATTAATTTGCCACAGTTTTTTATTTTTTTGATTTGAGCAGTACTCATTCAAATGCTTTGGTTTCCTTGCCGTTTACATTTCAGGAGATTCAAGCAGCATCGTCTCTGCAATTTGCTACACCATTCCTAAGTCAGCCATGGGAAGTAGCCTCTATGCTCTAGAATCAGGCTCTGACTTTAAATCGAGAGGGATGTCTGCTGAGAGCCGTGTGATATTGGGGCGTGGTGTCACCATGTCCACTTGCGATGTCATGATCATTGACGACAGCGAGTATGAAGAGGAAGAGGAGTTTGAGGTCGGCCTGGCACAGGCTTCTGACAACGCTCGTGTGGGAAGGGTGGCGACCGCCAGGGTGCTCATCAGTGGCCCCAACGATGCCTCCACCGTGTCGCTGGGCAACACGGCTTTCACCATCAGCGAGGATGCAGGTGAAGGAGAGGGTGCTGGCGCCCCACCGCCCATCTCCTTATCCCTTCTTGAACAATTTCCTCTTTAGTTTTGAGAACGTCCTTAAGACGTTGGGCACACCATTACTGCCATGGGTCTGAGGCATTGTGGAAGGCTGAGCACCAGGACCAGCCCTGGAAGCTCTTGAGGGGTGGCCAGTTCTTGTTCTGCTGGTCAATTGCAGAAAGATTCTGGCTTAGAGCTTTCTGGGTTGGCCTTTGTGGTCCAGAGGGAGGGCCTGGTGCTGAG